TTAAAAAATTATACCACATAATTTGAGGTTATACAAATTCGTATTTAATTTTTACACTTCTGTTGTTTACAAACATAACTTAAAATATCGAATGATTGGCAGTGTTTCCATAATGTAGGTCTACTTATAAAACTTTGAGGTTAGCGAACAAAAAAAAATACCATAATATGTTTTTCTTTTCCCTGAAGATACCCCAAAACTATGATTTTCGGACGATTAAGAGATCCAAAAACTGCTTATACCGGACAGTATGATGAAAAAGGTAATATGATAGGACACCGTACTCTACTTTCTTTTAAACGCAAAAATGAGAGGGAAAGAGAAAGAACGTGCACCGTTTGACCTTTCCACTTTGGAAATTCACGTATCATCAGATTTAACCGTCGCCTTAATTGCTTTAACGAAGCGATCTCGGCTCACAGTAGCTGGCGATGTTGCATGTTGCTACACAATGCACAGACGATGACACAACGTAGTGTTGCAATGCAACGGTCAAGGCACCTCTCTCGCGTCTCACGCGTACAATGCAGAATGCAACGTCATGAAACCTACGTTCTACGCACGATACTCCACGTCTTTGGACTGATTCATCAACAGTTTTTAGAATTGTTTATTGATTGGGTCGCTTTGAATGATTTGGATTACAATTTTGCTATGTCTATACTTATGTCATCATTTTCTTCTTTTCTTGTTTCACATTCAATTTCAATGTAAAATTAGCATGCGGTTGCGATGAAAACTGAAACAAATCAATTAACTTTCAACAAAACACTTGTTCGTTTAGAAGGGAAAAATTTATGTTCGAATACGACGATAAATAATGTACATATGAGATATTACAAAGATTTTTTTTTACCCACACTTAACGAATTATGCTACTTTGAGAGTTGGTGTCCTTTGTACATACTCTCCATCACGTTTGGTCCATAAGTCGTGTTGTAAAATTGGATTTAATTTCTTCAATTTCACTCAACCTATTATTTCAAAACTATTACAAAACTGAGTATGAGTAAATGTGTACTAGCGTTTACATGGGCAGACATTAGTAGGGCTCCGGACTTATCCAGGCATGGATTTAATATTCGTTCCTTGATTGAGTCACTTATATAATTTGTACCACAATCTTCCAATAACTATACTTAAAGCATTTTTTTACTAGCATTTCCGCGTTTTTTCAATATAGGTGTGATATATATGCTAGGATCTCCGAATGGTTTTGAAAATTGGCAGGGCATGCTTTTATAAACAGATAATGGAACATTATGTTTGAATATCCCAAACGCCAAGTGAATTAAACACATGACCAATATCTATTGATACGTAGACTTTGTCCAATTGTTTGGTGTATAGCCTACGTTGTTTAACCTACAATTCTAGTAGCAGGGAGCAATCATACCAGAAGATTAATAACTTACAAACACCATGCAAATAATGTCATAATAGTGCAATCAAAACCAGTACTGTAGGACGCGAATATAATCAATGCTCAATTCCTATCAGATAACGATAGGAACTGGTTTCATTCTAGCGTAGAAAATGAAATGACAGATACTCTAACTATTGCGTCATAACAGCAATAACCAGATTACACAGAGTACGAGCTAACTTGTTACAATGCGACATGAGATGAAGTGAAGTGCATAGAGTATAGTGTTGCGTTAGAGGTAACCGCTCAAATTACTCTGTGTACATCGCTAGTTGCATGGCAACGGTTCTAAACCTTGTGTAGCAAGTTGGCTGAGGCGCAATCAGCTGCAATAGCTGCTGATGTGATAACGTTGTCGTCAGCGGTGAAACGAGACAAATGGGGAGTTATCATGACCTGTTAGTCATGTCCTGACGGAAATATCAGTACACTTGATTGAGTAATTTAACTTATGGTATGCGTCCGTGTAAAAAGGTTCGGAAAGAAACATGTATACTTACAAACTAGGCCTTCCTCTTTTTATATTTGAATGGGGGGTCCCATATCGTAGAATCCTGGTATTTTCCAATTAGAACGCTGTTCCATGGATATTAACTCATTCTTTTTAGCCAGGAAAATGGCTGAAATCTATTTTTAACGTAGAAAAAATTTTATTTAACATGTTTAATTGCGTAAAACTCGTGCAACTCATTGTAGATACCAAATTAAAAAAATACCTTAGGAGGCTCCAAACTATGAATTAGACATCGAAAACTTTCAAAACGTGATCCCTATGTACCTTATACTTTGAGGTAGACATAGGCTAGTGTTATAGATTAAAGCCGGGTTTACACGCACCGATAAAACATAACGACTTGTCTGCAACGACTAATCGTTACGTTTTGTCGTAGGTTGAGAGGACCATTTACACGTTCCGTCTTTTTCTCTAACTTTGGCTCTCAAACCACACCCAGATGTATCTTGTTGTGAAGTAGTTAATAGGCTCCCTGTATATTTGACGATGGATGAGTTATTGTTATGGTCTGTTTACATTATTTCTGTTGCAACAAGTTTTAAGAGGAAAAGAAACCCTAGAAGTAAGTGGAGTCGGCATTGGCTACTGAAAAAACAGTTATCTCATGTGGAGTTGCTAAAGGAGTTGAGGAACGAACCCTCTGACTGGAGGAACTACTTAAGAATGACCGAGGATACCTACAACGATTTATTGAACATGGATTCTCCACATATAAAAAACACCATAATTAGAAAGGCAGTATCTCCCCATGAAAGACTCATTTACGATTCCTTGCAACTGGTAGAAGTTTCAAAGACTTGGAATTCACAACACTCATTTCTAAAACATCCCTCCTGCAAAATAATACCTGAAACATGCAAGTTGATGACAATTGCCCTGTCTGCAGACGGGTTAATTTCTTTATATTTGTTGATTAATTCTGCATTGGCCTCAACTCTATTAAAAAGTCACGAGAGGCTTGACTTATGTCTGACATAGTGACTAATGTGACACAAAACAGTAAAAATAAACTACACTACTCTACACAGTCCAAATATACCACAGCGGTTAAAACAACAGTACTACACAGTACAATTAAGCCGGGTTTACACGCTACGATAAAACGTAACGATTTGTCTGCAACGACAAAACGTTCATGCAAGACGGAACGTGTAAACTGGTAGTCGTTACGTTTTGTCTGAGTTGGAGTGAGGTTGGAAGGTTGGTGGAAATTTCCACCAATTTCTTTAGATCGTAGCGATTTTCTGTAGATCGTAGTGACAAGTCGTTGCGTGTAAACGGTGACTCGGTCATCGTTGCAACCTGTAGACCCTCCGATGTCGCGTTGGTCCAGTTAACTGTTGTGTAATTGTACTGTGTAGTACTGTTGTTTTAACCGCTGTGGTATATTTGGACTGTGTAGAGTAGTGTAGTTTATTTTTACTGTTTTGTGTCACATTAGTCACTATGTCAGACATAAGTCAAGCCTCTCGTGACTTTTTAATAGAGTTGAGGCCAATGCAGAATTAATCAACAAATATAAAGAAATTAACCCGTCTGCAGACAGGGCAATTGTCATCAACTTGCATGTTTCAGGTATTATTTTGCAGGAGGGATGTTTTAGAAATGAGTGTTGTGAATTCCAAGTCTTTGAAACTTCTACCAGTTGCAAGGAATCGTAAATGAGTCTTTCATGGGGAGATACTGCCTTTCTAATTATGGTGTTTTTTTATATGTGGAGAATCCATGTTCAATAAATCGTTGTAGGTATCCTCAGTCATTCTTAAGTAGTTCCTCCAGTCAGAGGGTTCGTTCCTCAACTCCTTTAGCAACTCCACATGAGATAACTGTTTTTTCAGTAGCCAATGCCGACTCCACTTACTTCTAGGGTTTCTTTTCCTCTTAAAACTTGTTGCAACAGAAATAATGTAAACAGACCATAACAATAACTCATCCATCGTCAAATATACAGGGAGCCTATTAACTACTTCACAACAAGATACATCTGGGTGTGGTTTGAGAGCCAAAGTTAGGGAAAAAGACGGAACGTGTAAATGGTCCTCTCAACCTACGACAAAACGTAACGATTAGTCGTTGCAGACAAGTCGTTATGTTTTATCGGTGCGTGTAAACCCGGCTTTACACAACAGTTAACTGGACCAACGCGACATCGGAGGGTCTACAGGTTGCAACGATGACCGAGTCACCGTTTACACGCAACGACTTGTCACTACGATCTACAGAAAATCGCTACGATCTAAAGGCTTTTTGTTATAGGGGTCGGTAGATCTTGTTGTCCACATAAAGTAGCAATTGGTTTGAGATTTTCTTCAATAGTTTTTAAAGAGAACAAAGGCACGACCCTAACATTTTAAGTTGGTTAGAGAAACCTAAAACTCTTTCTTGCGGCTCGGAATTGAGCTTTTAAGATGGCTAACCATGCTATTGTTGACTTCAAAGAATATTATTTGAAACGCCAGACTGTCGGTCTAGTTACCGCAATACAACCTGTAAGTTCATTCGAGAGCTGATCCTCTCAAATCTGGGGCATCACGTCATCGTTCTCCGATACACCGTTGCATTCCCCTTCCCCTCCTATCCCTCTCTTTACTCATCTTTCCTCTGCTTTCTTCTCTATTTACACCTGCCTCTTCTTTCTTCCTACGGGGAACGTAGTCTGTAATTACGGTGGCTAAAGTACTTCAACGCCCAAATTCCTCGGCAACGTTTAGAGCCTAACACGATTTGTCGAGATTGTAGGAACAGTTACTCGGTATTCAGAGGAAGTAAGGATTTAACGTTGGATTCATGGGACAAACTTACGTTCTGAATTTGTGTTTACTTGCGTATTTAATTTTGTGATTTTGTGATATTTTGCGGGAAATGGAAGAGTATTTTAATCCGCTATTTATCGTCAATTCGTCGTGTAATAAGCGATTTTAAGGAAAATAATGAATATTTGTTGCAAAATATAGGAGGAGATCCGGTGCAAAATATGCGTAGCCTCTAAAATAATAGATAATTAATTATATAATATTTAATGGACTATACATATTAATCCCTCGTATTTGTTTGTTACAGAATATGCTAAGGGTATTAACATTGCTGGTGCTCGGCGCTGTCGCCGTCGTCGCACAGAGAAGACTAGCACTACCAGATCCCAGGAGCTGCGCCAACAGTGAGTGTCATGTTGATCTAAGTCCAGTAAAACCAATTATTATAAGGACTTTGTACTACTACTGATAAGAAGAGTTGCTCTTTGTTATATTTAAAACGTGTATAGAGCTTTTTACTGTTTATGTAGAAATACACTGAGCAACTCTATTGAATAACATAAAACGTTTGTTTTAACTTTTAATGTTTATCAAGACTCACATAGAAGAGTCTGTTATACAGGGTGTCCCGTAACTCTCTGGACACATGTATATAGCGTTATTGCTTAGGTCAAGGCAAACACATTTCACCATAGAAACATGGGTCTGTGGTGTCTAGTTTACCGACTGTCGGCATTTATGTGTTTTTTACAAAAATATTATTAACTCCTAAACGGTTGAGATACAGCGTTGAGATTTTGCAGAAATGTTAATCTTATTAAGCTTTAACATTGATTAAATTTATACTAATAAATCATCAACCGTTTCAAAATGGCAGCCATTTCAAATATTTGATGCCAAATTTCACGAAAACCGTTAACTTAACCAAAAAATTGCAGGTGACAAAAAAGTTAGTAAATTTAATGTTGCCTTATTTGTTAAAAATAGATAAATAACAACAGAGAAATGTCTTCTTTTTCAAATGCATGACCACTTTTCTAACAATGCTAAACAACGTAAAAGGAGTATTAGCATTGTTTCCAAGTATATAAACATGTGTCCAGAGAGTTACGGGACACCCTGTATATTTGTTGGAATCAGCTGATTTAATTAATTTCCCTTCAGCGTTATCATGGACAATGGCTCCAGGTTTTTGCGTAAAGACTATTAAAAGTTAAGTACACACTTTGGATAACCGTAGATTCATGGTCTATCACAATTGGATTAGATTTAAGTCTAAAGGGTTTCGTGCTGTGTCAGATTATTAAGATTTTTTATAGTTATAATCTAATCTATATAAATAAAATTAGAGTTTTGTCTGTACATTGCTCAGAATTATATATTTGTTGGTTATTTTTACGTTTTATACATTAAAGAAGCCGAAACAAGTCTTATCTCAATTTCTGTCTGTATGTCTTGGCCCAGTAGGCATTTTACGCGGCCTTCTCCTGAAAAACGAAAGCATCGATAGGGATAAAAAGAGTCTTTTTGTATCAACTGGATTTGCTAGAGTGTCTTTAGCCATTAAAATATGGCCTCACTACTTTTGTAATAAAATAACGGAAGCTCAAAACCGCAATTTTGTGCGATTTTAGAAGTTTTCTCCCAATGTTAACCTCATACCTCATTTATGAAATACTAATAATCTGTTTGGAGAATACGACATCTATGAAATAACGAACAACTGTTTAAATAAAGATAATTTTTTCTATCTGTCACTGGATATGTTTACAAATACTTCAACCATTTCCGATCACATTTTGTAAGAAAATAAAAAACCAAGTGAGATTAAAAACGTTGTGCCTCAAATAACGGATTTAATCAATCGTAAGTGCAATAACGTGTACTGTAACTGTAAATGAAGTTAAATTTCTAGGCATTATTTTGGCCGTTAACTGGAGATTCTGTGCGTGTGTATCAAATTCAACTTGGGTTTTGATAACCAGGAAAAAGACCCTAAAACAGTGCTGTATACGAAGTTTTGTCTGGAAAATTGCAGATTAAATATGCTAACCAACTGCTGTTCTGATTATAAGAAGGTTTCAACTGACTAAAAGATCCCGTCCGAAGAACGGGTACACAGCTAGTAAAAGTTAAAATTAATACAGGTTGACAGGTTCTGTACAAGTAGGGTAGCTTCGACTGTTGTGACAACATTATCGAATAGTCAATGATGGTAGTTTCCAAGCGAATGTCGGTTTATTACCCACAAGTATAGTTGGTCCAAATGATGAAAATAAGCGCGTCGTAGACCTTTGTAACAACCACTCGCTTTATCCACCAGACAACGCAAACTTTTCGCAATACAACACGTTTACAATCAAAACACTCATTTACTTGTGAATGTTAAGGATCGGTCCGGTGACCTCACGGCCGCGCCACTAACGAGCTGCTATGTCCGATGTGTAAATGCGGTCTTTAGTGGCGAAGGACTTCGGAACAAAACTGTGGGATGTGTTCTGAATGTTTACGGACCACTTTGAATACCCGCGCCACCGGAACTGACTACAAGGCCAATGACAGATGCTCTGTACACAGCCCAGGGTCTTCCTTACACTTGTTACATTGTTGCATAAGAGACCCGTATTGTTGTGTTGCGTGCATGAGCCCTGTGTATGAAATCGAAGTTTGAAATGCAAACACGAACGAAAACCTTTGTGTTTGAACTGCAAGTGAGGATAACATTTGACTCCACCACGTGTATGAAATTGGAGTTTTAAATGCAAACCTAACCAAATAACCTTCCAAATAAGGTGAAGATCTTTGAGTATTGAATACAAACTGTCCACCGATACCTTTACATTTCTCTGTTTGTTACGTAACATAGCATCCATCGTATACCTACTATCGTGTTAAAATATTTATACATAACCGATGAAACCCTTAGTCCACCCCCCCCCCTTGAGCTAGGTATATCTTTTTATTATACCTTACCACCCCCGCATCCCTTTTGTCTGAATCATCGGTCCGATCAGCAATCAAAGAACCGTCTTAATAATTCTACACATTTCTCTGGACGTTTGTATGTTGAGATTCCGAGTTATAGATTAACACTTTCTACACACACAAGAATACAAAGACAGTGATTGCGAACCTTCTAGTGAAATTCTCTGAATGTATGAATACCAAAATGTCCACCAACCAGCATTTCTCGCGTTGCAGGAGTAAGACACGCCACATACAGGGACGCTCGCGGCGTCGCACACAGCTACTTCTTCAGCTGGGAACACGGACCCACCAGGAACCTAGAGGTCGACTGGCTGGACTCCAGAAACATCTGCAGAAGACATTGTATGGACGCCGTCAGTCTGGAAACTCCCCAGGAGAACGAGTTTGTCAAACAGAGGATAACCAGAGGTAGGTGTAGGTTTAGTCCTCGCTGAGCAATCAAAAATGTTGTGATAGTAGTTAGTTTTGATTTTTTATGGGAGGAATAATAATGAACAAAATAATTTTCTTGAACAAATGTGAATAATGAATTATTATAATACGAATCAGTCGGAAAGTAATACAATTAAGTATCAATTGGAGTTTTTATTTCTTAAAAATTATTTTATATGTTGTTTTTTTCTTACGATTACACTATAATATTATTTACAGGTTACAATACGTTTAAGTAAGTCAACGTTATTGAACTCATTACTAAAATGCCTCTCAATTTCAGAAAAAAACCCCTAATACTCTCACGTCCTTTGTATAAATAAATTTCAAATGTGATAACGGGTAACGAAGGTGGAAGAGTGTTGTAGCGTTTAAAATGTCCATTTTTTTCTGTTATGAGTGCGAACAAAGCTGGAATAATCAATAGTTATTACAAGTAGCCTATCACACCTAGCCCAAGTTAACAATAACTTAGTGAATTACAAGTTTCGAAACGCCTGCACAAAAGCTAACGCAAGTCCTACACAATAATTATGCACTGCGAGTTTAGCAGACGACATTTTGAAGGCTGCTTTAACATACGCATTGCTTCATTGACTATATATTCTAAGATGAGTGTGATGTTTTTCAGGTAACGTGAGGTACATTTGGACCTCTGGTCGCAAGTGTAACTTTGCTGGTTGCGACCGTCCTGATCTGCAGCCTCCCAATGTGAACGGATGGTTCTGGTCCGGCAGTGGTGCTAAGATCGGCCCAACGACACAGAGAAACACAGGCGACTGGAGCGCTACTGGTGGCTACGGACAAGCACAGCCTGACAACAGGGAGGCTCCTCAGGTAAATATTAATATGATTACTATCTTTATTTTCAAAATAATTGACAAAATGTTTGGAATACGAAAAAATAATCCCGCATGCACGCAAAACCTGTGCGCGAGACGAATTGTATTAATTTTATTTCCAGCTGGTCCTTTATAGTGTTCTATAGGGTTACTATTTTCAGAGGTTAACGATATTCTTATCGTCATCTCTTCAGTTTGAGCTAAGGTGATCAAAATCCTTGATGGTCTATAGGGATACTATTTCAGTGATCACCGTGTTGGATGACAACATTCTTTTCTTTGAATCTAATATTTTACACAACTTTGATGAAAAGAAAAACCTGATGTGTTCCATAAATATTATGAAACCATATTGACTCTGGATCCTCATTTCAGGGTAACGACGAATCTTGCTTGGCAATTCTGAACAACTTCTACCAGGACGGAGTGAAATGGCACGACGTTGCTTGTCACCATCTGAAGCCCTTCGTGTGTGAAGACAGCGATGAACTCCTCAACTTTGTCCGCTCGCGCAACCCCGGCATCCGTCTGTAGGCTCACCCACACCCTCCCCTCCATGTGAATATCCCCACCACCGCCCCTAATATATTATTTAGACTTATATATGGAGAAATCCAGCTGTAAAATTAATTTTATTTTGTAATAAAAACTTATTTAAATGTAAAAATTAAAAAAAGTACAAAACATCTGTGTGTGTCTTTGTCCGAGTCATTGACGCGCCATCTACCGGTTAGACCACTCATCCGCCTATCAGATATTATAATTTGTGTAAGTCTTATACGAACACGTAAAAATCCAACACAATTATGTTTGTGACGACTCTTCATTGCTGCGGTGATGAAGAGGATTTATTCCAATACGTGATAAGAGTTTGAAGATGAACCTTTTGCGTTAACAGTCGCCTGATAAATACCAGTTCATTCAACAGTACAACAGGCTTTAGATTTTTATTTGTATAAACATGATTCAGTGGTTGAACGAGTTTAAACTTATTTTAGGTCAATGCTAGTTGAAGAAGATAATTGATTACAAAGATTAAAACGTGGATGAATTATTTATTTGTACCTTGTGCTGCAAACAAACGCTCGGCTGAGTACTTGTTGTATTAGACACTAATAATTTTAAACTATGGGACAATCCCCTGTTGGTCGTTGGAGTGGAACTTAGACGTAATAGGCTACGACTTATTCTGCGGTGGGTAATACTTCCTTGTAAGTTCTTTCACTCCAGCAGTTTGACCCTTATGTTTTCTATATTTGAAGGCGCTTTTGTATAAATTACAGTTTTTTTTTTATTGAGGGACGTTTTAAACACGTTTCTAAATAAAATCGTTTTAAACTCATATGTTTTTCATACACAAGATCCGTCGACAACTATAAAGTGCAATGTGAATGTAGAAACAAGTGAGATGATCCAAGGCCACACTAAAAAAACTAAAAAGTTTTTAGTTTGGCCTTGGATGATCTTTGTAACTTTGAATTACTGACTAAGATCAGCTGTTTCGAGTCAGGATCATATTTCAAGCCAAATGATCCCTGAACTGCTAGACCCAATTTCTAACGACAACGATAACGTTACCACAGAAAACGTACTACTTAGTACGTTTTCTGTGACGTTACTGACTCATTTCAGGATCTAACAGGTGATTTTCCGATTACCAGCAAGCAAGACAACGCCATGATGTTGTACAGTAAGTATAGACTATTTTGCCATTGAAATTAACTTTGCCTCCAGAAATCAAATACAAAGAGAGCTTTAAGCTGTCAATTTGATTTGATGCGTGGAACGTAGGAGATGAGAAAAGTATGTTAGTTTATAAAATGTACTGTAAAACTCAAGATACTATTCATCAAATACGGTTAGTTCACCTCGGGAAGTATGTAGTCGCTTTGCAAAACTGAGACGTAGAATAACAGATTGATGCACTTCTACAATTGATGCAACTACTTAAGTAAATACAAAATCATTTCCGGATTCTCTTCATCATAATCTACAAAATACAGTAACCTAAAAATTCCTGTTAATGTATAGAATTTGTTATTTTCGCTAAGCAAAAGAATAAAACAAAAACTACATAAAACTAAATAGCCCGTTATCGAGCACAAGAGCAGTAAAGATGTTATCAAGATAATATTCTCTGATGCGTGAAACATGTCTTGGTACTGATATAGCATGCAGACAGCATAACGCCTACACATTTCGGTGACAACCTTGAATTTCCACTTGCTATTGCGTGTTTATAGTTGTGTTGTGTAGTTCAAGAGTTCAACGCAACAATGGTGGAGTATGCAGTTTTGAAACTGGGTCACCAAGATGCAACCATTGCAACCAACCAACAACCACCACGCTAAACTTACTTTGCACACTGTCACTGACTAAGAAGAATACTAGGATTAGAAGGGAAGGGAGAAAGTTGTAGAGTGGGGGAAATAGACAAATTATTTGTTAATGTGTTGACGAACCTTATCTCTAGTTGTTTTGCTTAAGTGGACATCGAGTCGTAACATCGATACCAACATCGACATGGCTATATCGATATTAATAAACTATCGACCCAAAACATCGATAATTAAGCGATAGTATTACTTAACTTTCTTGTATTGCATTGTCGCTAAATTAAATTATTCTACATAGTACGCAGGCTAATTTCCATCCAATTATGTAAATACTGTTAATCTGAAGCTAAATTAAAGGTCTAACCAATATATTTGTCCTACTAGCCCAAACACAATGAAAGGAAATATATTGTTATATATTTCCTTGCATAGTGTTTGGGCTAGTAATAAATTGGTTAGACCATTTTAATTTAGCAACAATAAATTATTTAAAAAAAACAGTATACCAAATTGGATGGAAATTAATTAGCCTTATCTACTACTATGTAGGATAATTTAATTTTGCGAATAACAATACAATTACACGTTGTTATACGTGATATAAAACTATAAAATAAAGCATATTTTAAATAAATAAATTACGTCAATATATAATAGCGTGTTGTGTAATGGCTGATTAATTATTTGTTTCCAAAATCATGTCGTCTGCTGAGCTGTGCATAAACAACTTGTTAATGCTATTAGTCTGTGGTAACAGGTGTAAAATGTAATTGATGTAAAACACTGTCTAATCCAAATCATGGATATCGATGTTAGAAAAACATCGACAGCTGACAATCGATGGCAAAACCATCGATCTCTTGTACCGTCGATGTTTCTTCAGTGAATTGAGAGACATCGAACATTGATGTCGAATAGTGTGAATAGTCATTAGTCAATGATATCGCCCTTAGTCATAGCTTTCAAATAGTTCCAGTTCCAGATATAACCTAAACCTAGTGTTGTTGTGTCGTGTCGACGACGGCTCAGTCTAGTCCAGTAGAAGAGTGGTCAGTGGTGGTGGAGGGTGGAAGAAGTTGTAATTCATGAAAATGACAAAGACTCAATGAATTTTTTCTTATGTGATTGTTAATTCATCCAATAAAAATGAGCAGGTAAGGTACTGGCATTGCAGTTATAATGTATATTAACTAAGCGAGCTTTTAAATTTAGAAATATATCAATATATGATTGAGTAGTTAAATTAAGTGGAAGGGTTATTTTGCTGTTGACAAACTGCTTTAAATTCCTAGTCAAAGTAGGAAAGGATAAGCACATTAAAATATAATCAGAAATTTGAATTTGAAATAATGAAATTGTTAATATCTGTTTTGTGATAAAAAAGCAGATCTTTGTGAGATTTATAATATTTTATATGAAAAATTATTATAATGACCCATTTAGGTAATCTCTTTTTAATTCTCTCTCAACATGATGTCTGGTTGCAGTCATGCCTCTTAGAAATGTTATTGTAAATTGAGCAAGGAAAACACTTGTTGTGCTCAGTGGTGGCAATGAGGGGAGTACAAAGGACCGTTGGAAGCAAAAATAAATAAAAAAATAAATAAAATAAAGACCAAAGCCCCTCCCATTGGACCCTGGAAAAATAAATATGTAGGCTAAACATACATTTTGTCCTAAAAAACGTAACAGAGGTTTTTGTTGCAGTTCTAGAAAATATGGCTTTTTGAAGTCATCAAATGGCTTTAAAATACAAAATTTTCAGGGGACGACCCCTGAGCCCCCCCCTATTTCTTGGGAGTCGTAAGATACCCCCAGGTAGCTCCCCCTTGACAAGGTCCTAGAACCACCACTGGGTGCTAAATGTTCTATGATTTCAAGTCTATTTGATGCCCTTCAGTAATAGATGTGAATTTAAAATACATAACATGAAACTCTTGATGTTAGAAATAATTTGTTCATGTGGTCCTAATCCAACCAGAGGGAGTTAAATGTTAAAAATTCAGTAAAGAAGTTGGAAATTCGTGTGGTGTGCAGGTTTGTTGTCATGATGTTATGTCTGTATGGAAACAAAAGGGGCACTATAGTTTAGTTCAACTAAATTCAGGGTGTTCTAAAATGTTTACAATCCCTACAGCAGCATAAAAACCTCAACAATTTTGTATGATGGTTGACGAAACTGTGACAAAAACTCTGCATTTGTCATAAGGCCATCACTGCCTCCGGATAGTTCTGTCGCGTCCGCCGTACAACCTGTGTCGGTTTGTCCTGTGTATTAATGTGGCCCGGCCTACTGTCTTTTAAATGTATTTAAATTGTGTTTTAATTGTGAACTGTAAATACGTTTTGATGAAGACTTCCGTCGGATTTATTTATGACTGACTCCAATTTTACGTTGACAAGGATTTGATAATGGGTCTTTGACCCGAATATAGTCATTCATAGACTAATTTAAAGCTGAAGATGGACTAAGGTATGTAACTTATTACATATTCAAAAGTCAGTCTTGGTGGCAAACATGTTTAAATAATGCCAACCTTTTGTTAGAGAGCATCATTAAATGATTGCCCAATTATAAAACATATTGGTCCATAATTGGCCTTATGGGATCAGCAACCTTTAAATTTATAGGTGACCACTGGCATAGTGTCTAGCTATCCAGACAATTACTACTGTAGTTGGAACTATGAAATGGTGAAAAGTGAGTCAGCATGTACATAATGCCTCAGTTTATTGAATGGTTATTAATTGAGGGTAATAATTAAGTGAAATAACTGTTCTGTATCAGGAACAATACTCTTTATCTTCCTACAGTCATGAGTTATCGGAACGTTAAAACCGACAGTTTGAGATCTCTGTAAACTGAAATAGCTCTTTTATTTCAACCATTGACTAACTCAAAAAAAAAAAAAAAAAAAAAAAAAACAGAAATCAGAATAATCAACCATTATTTTAGAGATGGATTTTATAAATACAGTAAAATAACGTAAACACCCCACAGCAGCAAACCTGAAGATTAAGCAAATTTCCATCCTTATTGGATTTTCTCTTCAATATTTTCTTTGATAATATCACATTTATTCCCTTTTAAACCAAATAACATTAGGATTAACAAGTACTTTAGTTAGGTTTGCTGCCAAAGAGAAAGTAATAAGGTGTGATTTTTTAGTGAAATGTTGCTAGATTAGGTGAAATTCTATGTTTTGAGGACCAAAATTAGGAATGACGAATATTTTCACCCAGTACGGTATTCATTATTAAACCCAGTTTCCAAAGTTCAATCGTGCTGGTTTCCAAACTCCGTAGAATAAAAGTAGATTGAGGCGTTTGTTGTTTGTACCAAATTTCGTCA